CTACACACAGTTGGTTTAAAACAGATATTTTCAACATTAAATTATATCTAAATGGGAAAAATGTATCTCATATCCACTATATTGCACATCTATGAGTAGGAGCACCATTAGTCTCATGTATATGAAAAAGATACGCTGATCCTGCCAGTTTCTCTAGATGCACAGTGCACAAACCTATATGCAAATACAATCTTAACCTGCCTGTACTGCTCATGTAATTCTTTCTTGTAAAATGCTTCAAACGTCCCCAGCTCTGTCCATTACTGTGTCGATACAGTATTTCTGTTGGTGCATTAAAACATTTATGGCCTCAACCCTTTCTGTCCGCGGCCTATATACCAAGTGAGGCAAAGCAAATTTTCTTTTGCAGATTAAATGAAGTCAAGCTCACATAACCTCACAGCAATCACAGGCTCTGACAATGACTGATACTGAAAATAGACACCAAAAGAGTCAGTCCAGTGGCTTTGCTCTGCGGACTGATCAAAGTGACAGGGCGCCAATGGGAACCTAATTCACAATACAACTAAGCCTACAGTCTAGTCAGTTTGTACATAAAACTAAATTAGGCAAATGGATTAGACTAGACTTACAATCAAATCGAATTTAAAAGCGCAATATGTAATGTCTCTGGAGGGGGGTTCACCACCTGCTTGTCACCCTGGATGTCATTGTTTTGGTGGAATCTGTTCTATATAATTATTATTTGTATGGTGTTTGTAATATGGTATAATGTCATGATTTTGGCATAGTATTTACAGCAGATGTCTATTTTGTTATGAGAGTAAACATAAACATTCCTTTATATCTTTATGCAGCTAAATGCATCCTTGCCTTTTTGAATCAAGGGATGTGTAAAAAGTTTGCACACAAACTACATCAAAACTGAGACTAAACTGGGAGTTGAACAGGACTACCTCAGGATCAAACTGATCAAACAAATATTCTCTTGTTCAATAGCCGGTCAGAGAATCTAATCCACAACCTCCTTGCTGAGAGTCCTCCTGCTAACTACCTCAATCTCCCATCAGGTATATATTGACCATTAGAGCAACACAATATTGTAATCAAAATGAAATCACAGCTTGAAGTGCTGCAGTTACCAAATAGTTGAGATTACATTTGTGTGATGGTCCCATGTAAACAATAAAATGTTCTTTCTTTTAGTTCAAGCCTTTACAAACATTTTCTGAAAAGTATGGGATTCTTGTAATAGTTTAGCAGTTCCTCTTTCAGTCTTCTCAGAGTTCAAAATGTGCATTCTGAAAAGAAATCTGATTTGAAAACATGAATCTCAAATCTAATCTCAATTGCAGTCCTATCGACCATATATATAACCATTTATGAATACCTAAAATTGTCCAGTTTTTCGCTGACTCTGCCCCCTTCTCTCCTTCCCCAGTTCTTTTCATTACTGTCATAATGAGGCAAGGGGCTTGCACAGTTTCAATATTTAAACACACTGGTGCCCCCCAAGGCCCTGCACTGGGCTGTTCACAAAACTCCACCAGCCTCATTACTGCCCTCTGTGTGGGTTCTATGTTTTTTAATGGTGAGATGTGAAAGGCGTCTGACCCACTGTAGCATCAGAGAGGCCCAACGACCACAGGGCTTGTTGAACATGGGACCCTTGGGTGCCACCTCTGTCCCTCCGTGCGGGAACGGGGGCGCGGGTGCTGACAGCTCTGGGGCGACATGGAGGGATCTTTGACGGGTGCAAAATGTTTAAATCAAAGACACAGTAGAGAGTGTAAATGGAATACAGAACGGCCAGTGTACAACAAGAAGATGGATTTGACTTTTTAAAGGTGATTCTTATGCTGTAAATAAGACTTAAGCATTAGTAGCTTAAAGAACTTAAGATAATGAACTTAAAAAAGTATACATCTGCAAAACCTTTTTGTCTAAATCCACTACAATTACTTGTGGTATATAAAACACCTACATACAAAAGGACAAAAGTCCAGTCTGGCCACTCTGAAGCTTCGACTTACATCAGACAATGTACATTACTACATTACTTTTAAATCATGGTGAAAATTATATTAATAGGCATATGGTTTGAAAACTTTCGAAAGAAAATGTGATAACTGAAATCTATACTTTACAATCTAAAACCTATTCGTGGCTATCAAGGGCTGTAAAGTTCGGAACATTACCAGAATATCTAAGAAATAAAACCATTCTTGTTTATCCTGGATGGCCTAAAGTCCCCAAAATGGTGTCTATAGCAGCAGTTTGCCTTGTGACTGTAACACATGATGAACCCTAACCCATGTGGCTCTTCATTCTGTTCCACAATGGGCTTTTCACAAATCCTTTTAAACCACTCTCATGGTCCATGGTATTTTCTCATGCAGTCAATAACTGTATTAAATATCACAACTAAATCTCGGTTGTTTACCTCACCATAAACCCAACTCGCTCTCTTGTTTGAAATCGCACTCCTACAACAGTGTAAAGAGTTGTACCTGTGTCTGTGGAAGGCGGTCCGTACTACTCATTCCTGTAATGATTTAACTGTGTGCAGTTCTGCTGGAGGATCGATGTACTACAGAGTATACCAGCTCAGGCTCCAGTTTACAGCGCTGCCCCAGGCTAAATGTTGTACAAAAAGCAGCCGTCGCTCCCCGGAGAGGCCTGCTCCAGCTGAGGCAGAGCTGGAGGAGTTTAGAAGGAGAGCTCTTACTGTGGAGAGCTGTGTTCTGTAGCTAACACTCCACAAGTATTATTTGTGATTTCACTGCCGACAGAGCCGAGGAGACTTTCAACGATTATTGCCGTGGTTTTTCAAACATCTCCTTCAATTTGGAGGCTTTAGAGCAGATCTTTAGTCGATGCAGCCCACAAAGGTACAAGTGCAGAGCTTTTTGTCATTATTGTTTGTCTGTTCAGCAGTTCAGGATTATAGACGTGGTCAGAAGTTACAGTTAATTGACTTTGTTGAATAACATTAAGTGAAACATCACTAATGGAACTGAAATGAAAATAATGCCATTTCCAATTGCTTTAAAATATTTCTCAATATGAGGCTGCTTTCCTATTCTAGGCCTCAGAATAAGCTGCTCTTGTCCCAGGAGATAATAAATGAATTGAATCCTGCACCCCCCGCGCCCCCCTCTTTTCCTTATCGGTCATCTATTTTTCCAGAGTAAGCTATTACTTGCAGAGGTTGCTAGGCAACAGGAAATATTAATAGCAGCTATTATTAGCCGGGCTGGGCTAGAGTAGTACTAAAATGTGGAAGTAGGAAACATGAATGCGTTACATAAATCTCTGGACCTTTCAGTGAGCAGGTCTGTGTTTGGGGCTGATTTATGGCCATGACGCTTCATTTATGAGAACAGGGCTGTGAAATAAGAAAATGGAACATTACCCTGAAGGGCTATTTGAAAATAAATAATTGCAGAGGTGAAACAAAAGCTGTTTAAAAGTAGCACTGCCTCTCTGTTTCACTTTAAAATGTTATTGGCCACAGAGGGCTGCCTCCGTCTACCACCAGTAGTGCCACCTAAATGTACTTATTACACTCAGACTGTACAGATAACATTTATACATAGGTGACCAAACTAATTTATTATTTTAAACCAGAGTATATGACATTGTAGTTTATAGGTTTGAAATGTTCCTGAATGGAAAACACAATTTTGATCATTGAAAAAGCACTGAACATGTGCTTGTGTAGATCCTTTAAACTTCATGATCTCATGATCGCAAAATGTTGAAAACTTGGATCATCTGAGGTATTAGGCTAGAGTTGCATACTTCAGATTCATTGTTAATAGTATTGTTAATAAAATGAATTGAGTGAGAGAAAACTAGATACAGGTAATACAAGATGGCACAGTATGCTTCATTGTATACAGTTGTATATTTCAGTGGCATCTCCGTATGAACCAGCAGGAGCCAGATGATGGTGTGGCCTAATCCCAAAGCCTTGCTCTAATGGAGGCCTTATACTCACCACCCACGGAATAAAAAACACGTCCTATAACTTATGCAGTTTGATTCAGAAAATCACATAAGACCTGATTAACGGAGGATAAATGCCACGGATGCTCACATTAAAGCATAAATATTCATGATGGGAGGGGGCAGAGTGAGAGAAAAAAAACGCTATATTTACGTCAGATGAAAGTATATAATGCTGAATAATTCACAGCGGAGGGCATCTATAATTCATCTGGTTCGATTCTATGATTAAAGCAAAATGATGTGTTCGCCAGCGGTGTTTACATGTGCAGTCTGAAACATGTTTAACACAAGAAAGTCCCTTCACCAAAGAGGGGGAATGGGGGTCCTCGGCAGCACTTTGAAACTAGGAAAGAGCTGACAAGGGATATCCCCATACAGTTTGAGATTTTCATGTTCAAAAACGTCTTACATCTTTTTAGAAAATCACAATGAATCAAAATTTGCTGCACAGCGTTCAGCCTCTCCTTGGTTTCACTCCGAGGCAATTCAGTGTGGAGTTTTGGAGGAGAATACACGTTAAAAGAGCAGCGCAGAAAAGGTCTGGTGTTAAGGAGTGTTTCTGTAACTGATGAAAAATGCATGTGCAAGCAGCGACCTTGTTCTTAACAGAGAGACTACAGCTTCCTTGGCCTCTAACCAAACTAATTTTCAGCGTAATGTGAGATTGCTATGCTTTTATTAGAAAATATATTGAGCATTTCTGGAGGATTTAGTCATTCTGCTGTTTTGCTGGTATTTATAATAATAAAACAGACAGACAGTAGATCGTTATTACAACAGTATTATCTATAGTGAGAATTCTACAAGAGACCCATTGTTTGTTTGGTACCACTACTTTTTGCCCTGCAACTTTAAATCCTACTACAACATCTTTAAGTTTCCAAAGTCTTAAAAAACAAAAGTGACTAGAGCACAGTATACCTTTCCTCCCTGCCTCCATGACCAACCTGCTGACTTCTAGTGACACGTGCCTTACCGCTGTACTCACAGAAACACACTACACATACACATCCAGGTATACTCACTGAGTGCATGGGCCCTGAGAGGAGGTGGGAGTCCTGGCTCAGCATGTTGGACATCATGAGGGCGGGCAGTTCGGGGTAGGAGTAGGAGTTGAGGAGGCCGTTATGGGGCAGAGAGTGGAAAGGGTACCCCGGCTCGTGCTCCATGAGGTGCAGGAGGGAGGGGTCAGCGTGGTTTGGAGGGGTAATGGGGGGGATCTCGTAGTCTTCGTCTCCCGCACCTCCTCCTCCACTGCCTCTGCCCTGACTGGAGTAACCCTGCAAAAGAAGAGAAGGTACTAGGTGAGATTTAATGTTACATAAAAGCGCATTATTGAACATTTTTGCTGGACCGTCCGTCTACTGCTGGTCTCCATGGAGATTGTATGGCTTTTCCATGAAATGTCCAACAGTACAGCATTCGACTTATCTCCATGGAGACGTGACAGGCAGTTTTAGGTCTGTGGAGAGGCAACCCTACCCTCAATACGAATGCACAGACAGTAAATGAATAGAGAATTTTGCAAGATTTTTGTGTGTTTTGATTTTCATTATATATTTTTATATAATGGGAATTTGAGTTCAATATTTTAACACTCAAAATCTAAATGTCTATCTATCTGTCTTAAAATAGTTGGTAAATACCATCGTAAAATGGTATTTAACAACATCCAATTTCTTGACACAGACTGGTGTTTTAGTACCAAAATAAAAGCCATAAAAATCATTCAAATTGCACAAGTAATATTTCCTGTCTTTGCTGTTTAGTTGTCAAATAACGTCAGTGTTGTGACAGTTTGAAGGCTCGGTGATTTATGTGCTGTCTTTTTATTATTTGAAAACGCAATAACCTGTTTTTACATCTGCACAACTGAATAAGCCGCACAAATATGAGGTCGGCATAAAATCCTTTCATTGCCTTGTTTAGCTTCTGCGCTACAACGTCCATCAAAGAACCCTCAAACTAATCAACAACATTTTCACAGTAAACCAAGGTAATAGTTTATAAGCAGCAATGCACCGACTAAGACTGTTGGAGGTAATTAAAATCCTTCAGAATTGCCTTTTACGCGCACCTGTTGGATTATGTTGTCTACATCGGAGGCTGCAGGAAGTCGAAATAATTAGAAAAAGCAAACTGCTCAAGACAAAACAGTGTATACAGCCCATTCAATACAAACATGTATGGAGAATTAATTAGGCGCCGACAGCTGCTCTACACAAGCACCAAAATGTTGACAGATTTCCAGAGAAACTGAGCACGCCACTTTTAAATACAGCTAATTACATTCTGTAGGAAGCAAATGCAGAGTGGATATTTGAGTTTATTGGCAAATTTTATTAAATATGCTATACAAGGTAGGATTTTGATGATGTTTTTTTAATAGACCCAAGCAGGTGGAGGAATAGATGATTATATTATAGGGCTGTCTATTGATTCTGTACCATTATAAAAAAGAACTGCAAAAAGGAGTCAGCATGGAAATACTGTCATAATTGCTTTTAAAGGCACACTATGTAACATTTTGGTTGGGGGTCAGTCACCTGCTTGTTTCTACGGATATGTGTGTGCCTGGAATGTTCCACAGTATGATTCTAAATAGCACTACCTTACGTATATTTAATTACAGTTGGTTTTATGGCTCAAAAATCCCAAGAAAAACAGGCATTCTGACTGTGACCTGGGATGCCTCTCCACAGACCTGACCTGTAACATTCCAGACAAAGCGATAACATCTCCATGGAGAAAAGCATTTGATGGAAAATTTACACCAATGCACCTTTAAAGTTGCACTATGTAACTTTTCTGGTGGAGGGTCCTTATATTTTTCATGCTATAATTCATTTACAGACGTTTTAACTGCTAAAAAAAACCTTGATACAGCTCTGACATATAGGTCTAAAAGTGTCACCTGCTTGTCTCCATGGGGATAGAAACGTTTATTGGACATATAACTTGGCCTGCTGACGCCAAGCTTACTGCCACACTATGGAACATTCCCAGAAATGCAATAACAACTCTACGGAGACAAGCAGGAGGTCAGTCCCCCAACAGAAAAGTTACCCATGAGCTCCTTTAAAATGTATTATAATATGCTTTTAATTGCCTAATCTTAGTAATTTATGAGGAGCCCTGACCTATTGTGAGATAGTGGCAAGAATACACGGTGCACCCACAAGAGGTCAGTAAAAGAATTTTGTGTGAATACTTCAATTTTAGTTCTGAAGATCTACCGTTTGATTATGGAAGGTGGCGTCACCATTGCCAGATAAAGCCAGTGTCTTCCTAGCTCCCATTACTCTTCAGATTTATGTACTTGGTATTATGTGATTGCTAATAGGTTTAGTAAGCATAAATTATCCTTATTGCTAAAAGTGCTTGAGGTTTTATAGCAGCACCACTCTGATACATGATCCCACTATTGGCTGTCTTTCCGCTGCCTATCTGACATAATACTGTGCAGAGAAATATGCTCGCTAGCTCTCCAAAAGCATACTGAGGCTATTCACCGGGGAATGAAAAGCAATTTTGTCAGCAGCAATCTGATGCCAACTCCCCTTTATAATGACTGAAGAAAATTAATCATCACAAATAATATTCCAGTGTCAGCCATTCAAGAGCTTTTTAATAGAATTTTTATTATTCATGTCTCGTGGTACACATCAACCAGTCCGTTCTGCAACATTTCAGAAATCAATTCAATATCATCGGCGTGTAGGCTGTCATCTCGCCTGCCAGAGCCGCAATTCATCTCCCAAACAAATACTTTTAGCAAACAAATGGGAAGAAATGTCGAGGAACACTTACAATGTCGCTATGAGCAGCAGCAAGGATAAAGTCTGGTAATGTGCACACATCATTAGAGAGGCCATAATAGTAATAAAAATAATAAAAGGAGCCGAGTGTTTACTGTCAGTGGAAAATGTGACAATTTATTCCTTGTGTGTTCATCGCCTTGAGCTTTGCAAAAATGTTTCCTCTCCAAATGCTGAGGCACTTCACATAACAGAGACATAAAAACGATGATGCCATTTTGAGATGGAATGATTATTTTTCGAAATATTTTCCAAATAAATTAAAGTAGTTTATGAGCTTGTACTTGGAAAATTCAACAAATATATGCTAATATGGTAGTAAGAATCATAGAATTTAAAGGAGCAATGTGTTTGTGTTTACAGCACTTCAAACATAAATGACAATATATTCTCAAAGCAGTGTAGAGCAAAAAGAGGAAGAATATACATGTTTGTTTTTCAGTTGCTGTTTACAATAAAATCAATAAATTTTTATTGCATGTCTCTTTTCTATTGTACCACCACATACAGCAACTTGAGCACACAATATATGTGAAGTGTCTTGTTCAAGGGCACTGCACCAGCATCAGTTGGTGAATGTTGGTGAATGAAAGTGTTATTTGTATTTCTTACTTAGGTTATACTGGCACTGTCAAAGTCTGATCTCAGAGGCTAAGTAGGACCAGGCCTGGTTAGTATGGGAAACCACAGGGTATTCCAGGTGCTATCGTTGTGTCCTGAGGCAAGACACTTCAGGCCACAATGCCTAGAATGACAGTGGTGTGTGCGTGTGTGATTGGTGGTGGTCGGAGGGGCCGATGGTGCAGACTGGCATCCTTGCTTAAGTCACTCTGCCCCAGGGCAGCTGTGGCTATAATAACCCACCACCACTGAGTGTGAAATGAATAATGCACTGTCAAGAGTCTTTGAGGGTCCAAAAAAAAGTATATAAATCTGATCCATTATTATTCTCTGTACCGCAGTATCTCTTTATCTTTACAACTTGTGCTAATCGAGTGATACAGTCAAACGCATGTAATATTCTGCTGGACTCAGCTCTTACGATGAATCATAGCTGCTGTCATCTCCTGTAGTGAGATTTAAACACTGTCAACATTCAAGTGAATCTGTTTTTTTTTCTTTTTTCCTTTTTTACAGCTTTCTCTGATGCCCTTGAAGATAAGACGTGGGACAAGGACAGCACAAGTTGAATATTTTCAAACGCAGATAAATAATTCATAAATAAACTGTCTTTCAGGACGGGGGGATATAAAAAGACAGGGTCAAATAAGAGAATAGAAAGAAAAAGAAAAAAAAAATCACCAAATGTTGATTCAGCCTCGTCCCGTAACCTTCACCCACTCCCCCTAGAGGTGAAATGTAAGCAAATCTGTCATTTTACCAGACAAGGACAACAATATAGACCTTAGGAGCCCATGTATTTCTGTACTGTTTCTCCCAAAGTCCAACCTGCATCCATGTTTGAGCCATAATGGCAAAACAACATACTGCAGACAATCTTTAACAGTTTATGGATGTGAGAGGGGGCTTGCAGGCATATTGACTATCACCACTCATAAGGCACACCCTGCTTTGAAAAACAGGGAGATGATGTGCCCCAAGGGACAAACTAGGGTGATTTTTTACAGTGAAAGATCAAATCTGCAAGACTTTCCTTGTTTGACGCAGACACATGAAACGCTGGGTTAGAACAACACAGGACCTCCTCTCAGAATTCAAAGACCTCACAAGTGCAGCCATGGAACTCACTGTCATTGCTTGCATAATATTTACAGTATTATGTTGTATTGCATTGTATCTTGGTTGGATACAGTGTCTAAAGGAAATACTGCACAGACTTTTTATGATTTGCAATGATACAGGAGTTCGATAGTATGGTCAAAATTGAAGTCTAAATGTTAACGAAAGATCAGTACATAGTAAATAGGATCTAGAGCTGTGATTTTTAATTAGTCTCCACTGAATGTCTACTCAGCACCCCCTTATGAACTAAAACTAAATCTGTTAAAACAACGGTTAATATTTTCCAATTAGCCAGGTGGACAACTAAAAACAACATACATGTTTTGTTTTATTTTGGGATACACTGTGTAGAACAGGGGTGTCAAACTCAAATTCACAGAGGGGCAAAATAAAAAAAAAGTTGTGGGCCAAACTATATATTTTTTTAAAAATTTCAAAGATATCTGCATGTTTTTTCTTCTTTCGAGATCTGTAATGTTAAATCTTATCTCATTAAAATAAATGTTTGATAATATTTTTACTTAAACATAATATAAAATAATACTTTTTTTTTTTTTTTATAAATAATGCCTCTATAGCCTATCTGGAGTCAGCGGACCAGCTCTAATGCATATTTGAGAAAATCTCGTAGGCCAAATAGAATTATATCATGGGCCAAATTTGGCCCCCGACTTGTCTGTTGTAGAACAAGCACCTAAAATCTTTACAATCGAGCAGTA